CAGGGGGGGACACCGGCACGGGTCCCAGGCAGGGCGAGGCGGGCGTTGCCCAGGTAGAAAACCTAGCAGTTTGGAACCTGGGGAGCATGTTTAACAAGGTCGAGGGGTGCTGATGGGTTATGTCAACTTTCAATGTCAGGGCAGCTTGTTGGGTCTTACCCTGATATTTTACCTTGAACGTAAGCACTGGATGTTGCTGCCCCCCCCACCACAGGACGAGGATACCACCAACTACGATGCGTTCAAGGAGTGGGTCGGCGAGGTGCCAAGAGCGGCTAAGGGCGCAGCTGGCAAGCGCAGGCGGGGTGGCGGTGATGACGACGACCTGGGTGCGAGGTCGGGGTGCAAGGTTGGAAATAAACGGCAGAAGGGGAACAAGGGCGCAGGCCGGGGCAGGGGTGCAAGCAAGGGGACCACCAGAGGTGCGGGGAAGGGCGGCGCAGGCAAGGGAGGGCGGAGGGGGCGGACAGAGGAGGGTAGCTCGGAGGGTGGGTCGGATGCTGGTGAGGAAGAGGTCCTAGCTGCTGGCGCTGGGGAGGAGTCCAGCTCGGAGGACCCGGGCAAATATAGCAAAGCTAGCAGCAGCAGCAGTGGCAGTGGCAGCAGCGACAGTGGTGGAAGTGAGCAGTAACATGGCAGCAGTGATGAGCGCTTGGGGGTGCACACACCAGGTCGGCCCCAGGCAGGATGGGACATACCAATCCCAATAGGTGCCGGTACATGTCATGCATCGGGGGTTTCATCCGTAGGAGTAGGCACGAACTCTGCAAGTGGTGGTGAGACTCCTTGGCGAGCACTTGCTGGTGGTGAGACTCCTTGGTGATCCGGAACCGCCGCTGGCACGCGTGGTGGTCGAGGGCGTGGACGCAGCAGCGGCAGGAGAACTGGGCGCGGGACAGGGCGCGTGGACAGCAACACAGGCGGTGGAGCCGAGGAGGCATTGGTGTATGGAGAGAACGATGCAATTCAGGTGAGGAGTGTTTGCTCGTTTCCAGACTGCTTGCAACCAGGGCTGCCTTGTAACCCTTTTGGAACCTGGGGAGCATGTTTAACAAGGTCGAGGGGTGCTGATGGGTTATGTCAACTTTCAATGTCAGGGCAGCTTGTTGGGTCTTACCCTGATATTTTACCTTGAACGTAAGCACTGGGTGTTGCTGCCCTCCCCACCACAGGACGAGGATACCACCAACTACGATGCGTTCAAGGAGTGGGTCGGCGAGGTGCCAAGAGCGGCTAAGGGCGCAGCTGGCAAGCGCAGGCGGGGTGGCGGTGATGACGACGACCTGGGTGCGAGGTCGGGGTGCAAGGTTGGAAATAAACGGCAGAAGGGGAACAAGGGCGCAGGCCGGGGCAGGGGTGCAAGCAAGGGGACCACCAGAGGTGCGGGGAAGGGCGGCGCAGGCAAGGGAGGGCGGAGGGGGCGGACAGAGGAGGGTAGCTCGGAGGGTGGGTCGGATGCTGGTGAGGAAGAGGTCCTAGCCGCTGGCGCTGGGGAGGAGTCCAGCTCGGAGGACCCGGGCAAATATAGCGAAGCTAGCAGCAGCAGCAGTGGCAGTGGCAGCAGCGACAGTGGTGGAAGTGAGCAGTAACATGGCAGCAGTGATGAGCGCTTGGGGGTGCACACACCAGGTCGGCCCCAGGCAGGATGGGACATACCAATCCCAATAGGTGCCGGTACATGTCATGCATCGGGGGTTTCATCCGTAGGAGTAGGCACGAACTCTGCAAGTGGTGGTGAGACTCATTGGCGAGCACTTGCTGGTGGTGAGACTCTTTGGTGATCCGGAACCGCCGCTGGCACGCGTGGTGGTCGAGGGCGTGGACGCAGCAGCGGCGGGAGAACTGGGCGCGGGACAGGGCGCGTGGACAGCAACACAGGCGGTGGAGCCGAGGAGGCATTGGTGTATGGAGAGAACGATGCAATTCAGGTGAGGAGTGTTTGCTCGTTTCCAGACTGCTTGCAACCAGGGCTGCCTTGTAACCCTTTTGGAACCTGGGGAGCATGTTTAACAAGGTCGAGGGGTGCTGATGGGTTATGTCAACTTTCAATGTCAGGGCAGCTTGTTGGGTCTTACCCTGATATTTTACCTTGAACGTAAGCAGTGGGTGTTGCTGCCCTCCCCACCACAGGACGAGGATACCACCAACTACGATGCGTTCAAGGAGTGGGTCGGCGAGGTGCCAAGAGCAGCTAAGGGCGCAGCTGGCAAGCGCAGGCGGGGTGGCGGTGATGACGACGACCTGGGTGCGAGGTCGGGGCGCAAGGTTGGAAATAAACGGCAGAAGGGGAACAAGGGCGCAGGCTGGGGCAGGGGTGCAAGCAAGGGGACCACCAGAGGTGCGGGGAAGGGCGGCGCAGGCAAGGGAGGGTGGAGGGGGCGGACAGAGGAGGGTAGCTCGGAGGGTGGGTCGGATGCTGGTGAGGAAGAGGTCCTAGCCGCTGGCGCTGGGGAGGAGTCCAGCTCGGAGGACCCGGGCAAATATAGCGAAGCTAGCAGCAGCAGCAGTGGCAGTGGCAGCAGCGACAGTGGTGGAAGTGAGCAGTAACATGACAGCAGTGATGAGCGCTTGGGGGTGCACACACCAGGTCGGCCCCAGGCAGGATGGGACAGACCGATCCCAATAGGTGCCGGTACATGTCATGCATCGGGGGTTTCATCCGTAGGAGTAGGCACGAACTCTGCAAGTGGTGGTGAGACTCCTTGGCGAGCACTTGCTGTATGGGGGGTGACATGAACGCTGTTTTCGAGGACGATGGTTGAGATGAATGCATCAGGCTGTCAGGCTGGCTGGTTGGCGTTGTGAGTCCAAAGCGCCTTGGTCCACAAGCACACTGAGACTTAGGCTACTTTGACAAGGGGTGTGCGTCCATTTTGAGGCTTGCCGCAAGTATTCACCAATCGTTAATTTAACATGCAGTAAGCGTCACATCGCAGAGTAATATCTGCCTGTGTAACCCGTGATAACAGGGTCTTCACCCGTAATTGTACGTGTAATTGGTTACATGCCCCGTAATTTACCTGCAGCACCGTGTAATATTCACCCGTAATCACTGGGTCTTCACCCGTAATTTTGCGTGTAATTGGTTACATGCGCCCGTAATTCACCTGCAGTACCGCGTAATAGTCACCCGTAATCACTGGGTCTTCACCCGTAAGTTTGCGTGTAATTGGTTACATGCGCCCGTAATTCACCTCCAGCACCGCGTAAAATCCACCCGTAATCACTGGGTCTTCACCCGTAAGTTTGCGTGTAATTGGTTACATGCGCCCGTAATTCACCTCCAGCACCGCGTAAAATCCACCCGTAATCACTGGTCTTCACCCGTAATTTTGCGTGTAATTGTTACATGCGCCCGTATTCACCTCCAGCACCGCGTAA